CATCTGCAGCCATGCACGCACACCCCGGGCACTCCTGCACACGTGCACAGGCTCATGCCCACTGCACCAGCGTTCGCCTCCCTCCCCATGCCCAAGCCCTTGCACACGCGTGTGTACCCCCACCCCCGCCGGGCCCGGCGGGGGGTGTGCAGTGGGGTGTGAGCGGCGTCGCGACCGCAGCAGCTCAGTCGCAGCGTCGCGACCGCAGGCTGTGCCTTGCCGTGCTGCAGAGCGCTGCAGCGGGGCTGCCGCAGCCCCCGGCCCGCGGCGCGGGGAGCCCCAGCACCCCGGCGGGCAGCGGGGCGCTGGGTGCCCCGGGACGGGGGGTGCTGGTGGTGGTGGTGGTGGGGGGGCTCGTCCCGGTGCTCCCCGCTGGGTGCTGGCCGCCCTGTGCCGCGTTTGGTTGCAGAGCTGGTGCCACGGGCTGTGTTGCGGCAGGGCGCTCCCTTGGGGTCCCCCCGCCCCGCTGGCACCCTTGCTTTGCACCCTCAGCCCCTGCTGCGCACCCATGGGTGCTTTCAGGGCGTCGGTGGCCAGGACACCCCCCAATTCCCCCGCCCTGTGTCTGAGCCAGGGCTCAACCTGCCCCAAACCTGGGGGGGGCCGAGCCCGGCTGCTGTAGGGCAGGAGAGGGGCACAGCCCCGCGGCTCTGGGTGCTGGGGGCGGGGGGCAGCAGCCCCCACCGTGGGTGCTCAGCCCTGCCCGGCCTCCTCCTCCTTCTTCCCCCAGCCTGCTGCCTGCAGAGCTCGCCCCGGCCCGCTCCGGCCGAGATTGCCGTTTGCACAAAAATACAGGTCAGGCCGGGGAGCCAGTGTTGCAAAAACGCTGCCTCCCCTGCAGCGAGCTGGAAAGCCTCCAGGCTGCTCCAGGCAGCAGCTGCTCGCCGGCCTGCAGCTCCTCCGCCAGCTTTGCTTTCCTCCTAGCAAACCCCAGTTTGCAGGAGGTGTGATGGGGAAAACAAAAAAAACAAACAAACCAACCCTCAATGTTGTTTTTCCTTGCAGGAAAAGCCCTGCTTGGAAATGGTCCGGCCACTGCGAGTGGGCTAAAAACCCCGTCCAAGGGGGTGGGTTTATGGGATGAAAAGCAGCTGTGAGATCGTAGCAGGGCTGTGGGCAGCTGCTGGCTGTGGCGCAGCATCCTGTCCCCATCTCCATCACCCCATAAAAAGGGGCTCCACTCCAACCTCTTCTTCCCAGCTGGCCTGCTTGCAAGGATACCTGCAGCTCCCAGTGCTGCCCAGTGCCCTCTGGCCCCTGGGGTGTCGAGCTTTTGGCACCCACGGTGACTCCAGCAAACAAAAAATGAAAGAAGGCCGGGTGTCCTCAGCCACTGGAAAGTTTTATTACATTAAATAACCCTCAGCGAAGTGGGGGGGTTAAATACAGCAGCTCCCAGTTCACCCTGGAGCAGGACGTGGTGGCTGTGGGGCACTCTCAGCATCTTGCCCCAGTCCCCCCAGTGTGATCTGCTGCCAAGTTGTGGGGAGTTGGCTGCCATGTCATGGCTGTGTGATGCTGATTCTGGTGTTTGTGGTGGTTGCAGCCACTCCATGGGGCATGAAGGTGTCTGTGTCCGAGGTCCAAGGGCAGGAGAAGGAGCTGGTAGAGCATGAAGAGCCTTTTAGATGCTCAGCATGTTTGGCAGGCTTCAATGCGGAACAGGTCCAAGCAGGCTGACCTCCACAGACATCCACAGGAGAAGCCGGTAACTGTGCTGGTCTCAGAGCTGCAGGCTGGGGAGGTGGGATGCTCCTGAAGTCCAGGACCTCAGTGGTTGTGTCTTCTGCATTATGTCTTGCACATGAGGCTTGAGGTCAGGCAGGGATCTGATGTTGCCTTGGGTGGAGGGACCCTGCAGTGGCGTCTGGGGACCTGGCGCCCACCACAGAGACAGCCATGAGCATCCCCCTTGGCTGCGCTGCAGAATGCACCCAGCCAAGGTGAGTCACCCCCGCACGAATCCCTTCTGATGCCGTCAAAGTCCTTCATCCACCATGGGCCCAGAGCAGGACTAGATCCCACCATCCGCCCAAGACCTTTGGGGCTGGGACATGGAGGTGACTGCAAGAAAAAACTGAGAGGCTTGCAAGAGCCTCTGGGAAGGTGCTGAGATGTTGGTGTCTTGGCTGGTCTCATCCAACCATCTTCATGCCCTGTGTGACAAGGACGTGTCTCCATCTGTCCCTGCTGTGCTGTGTGTGTGTGAGCACTGATCCCAGCACGGGGGGACAGGGGCTGTGGGACTCACCTGGGGGTGGCATTTTCTGGACCATTAGCACTAATGTGTCCTGACCAAGTTTCAGGTTGATACCTTCAAGCAGCAAGATTCCTGGTCCAGGTCCTCTAAAGTGCAAGCTCAACCAAAACCGTGTCTTTGGGGTTTACTTGTCTTGCCTCCTGCCTTTCATGAGACTTTTGTGGCATCAGGAAGATACCGAGCTCATTAAAAACATGGGAAAAAGGAGTCATTGGTGCATCCCGTAGCTGTTTGACTGCAGGGTCTGGCTATTTGAGCAGCTCTCGGGGATGCTCAAGGGTGGCATGGGCTCACAAGAAAACATCTGCAATGGGCACCCGGAATGTTTTCCAGCTGAGTGTTGCCTTTGCTGTTGCTATTTGGCCTCCGATTTATGGTAATTGGTGCATTTACAATAAATAGGTGTTTTGTGCCCACTGCAGGCAAACTGCACCACTGAGAGTCACTCCTTGCACTTTTAAAGTGAGTTTCTGCTATGTGTGGCTGTGGAAAAGACATGCAGGATTTCAAAATCCAGGAAAGACTGAAAAAAACCACCCAAACCAGATAAAAAATATCCCCCCAAGCTCCCAACCTGCAGAAATGTTATTTACTGCAGCTCTTTCCTCTGCTTGGCTGGGGTGGATCCCAGCAGCTCTGCCTCCAAGATGCTGATCGTAAAGGAGAACATGCTAGGTTTTGCTCCTGGTTTGGGATGTCACCCAGCTTGCTGCACACAGGGATGGGTGTGGGGAGAGGGTGAACCCACCCGTGAGCTGGAAAAGGGATTCCCCCAGCCACCCTGTCCCCTACGCAGCTGCCTGGAGGGTCCTGCTGCTCCCAGCAGCACTAGTGACGGATGCTTTTCTGTTTCCCTTGCTTATTTGCATTCCCACTGCAAATGCTGCTGTTGGAAGGGATGAAGGATGAAACGAGAGGTGATGCTCCCAGCTAGCCCATGGCACCGGGATGCTGCGGGGAGGGGTGATGCTGCAGCCCAGCGCAACTCCCAGTGCCAGAGCACTGGGGAGTCTGGTGGGAGGCTGGGGACCTTCCCCCAAGGATCAAGACCTGCCACCAGCCTGGTTTTAAGTCAACCAGATGCTGTTGGCAGCCTGGGAAACCTCAACCCTGCTGGTGGTGTCTGTAGCTTTTTCTAAGCACAGATGTTGGGTTGGCAAAGCCTGGGCTTGTGGCAGGGACCTGGTTAGGCTGGGAGTTTTAATTAGCCCATTTCATTTTGTGAAGGCTTGCCCCCCAGCCCCCACCGCTGCCGTCCCCCCCTGCACCCCCAGGAGCTGGGGCGCAGGAGGAAGGTGTCTGGGTGCAGAGCTGGGTGCTGGGTAACTCGGTGCATGAGTCACCCAGGAGGCAGCTGGAGGCAGCGTGGCAGCGCCGTTTCAGGGCAGGAACATGCCCCAGGTTTTTCTGGCTGACTTTTTGAGGTGAGAATGCTCCTTTTCTGCTGCTGTGGGAAGGACGGAGGAGCAACTGGCCCTGGGGGATGGTGCTCCGCATGAGGAGGCTTCACCGAGCTGGGAGAAGAGATGCAGGAAAGGGGGTTTCCCCCATGACAGAGATTACATGTCCCCAGAAACTCCTTTATCTGCAATCCTGCTTGACTGTTTGCATCCCCCACTGGATAGCCTTTTATTCTCCTTAAACCCACTGGCACTGTTAATTCCCTTGGCTCTTCCCTGCTCTGATCTTCCCTCTGCAAGCTTGCCTTCTGCTGGGGTCAGAGAGGCACTTGGGGTCCAGAGCTGGGTTGAGAAGGCACATTGTACCATATTTGCAGGAGTAAATGTCACATTTGCAAGACCGTGGGTTGGGTATCCCCATCTTTGGGGGGTGCTTCAGACCTTGCAGGACTGGGGCGGGGGGTGTGAGCACCCCAGGCTGTGCTGCAGCCCTGGCAGTGACCCAAGCACCTTCCCTGGGTCCTGTCAGGGAGCAGGGCTGGGCGAGGGAGCTGGGCTCTGCGGGGCTGGGAGGTGGACAGGAGCCTCGAGCCACCCAGGACACGGTACCTGTGACATGGTGAAAGGGTCGCCGAGCCCTCCACGGCTGTGCAGAGCCAGCTTTTCCCTGCTTTCCTCCGGCCTCAGAATCTGTCCTGCAAAAGCTCTCTGGGGCTGGAATAAGAGCAACATGCTACTGTTCTCCTGTTCCCACCCTTGGAAGTTCTCCCAGGGCTGGGAGCAAGTCCTGAGGGTCCCACGCCAGCACCGGGTCCCTGCATAACACGAGGTCTGGCTGCTGCCATGTGTTGGGTCTGCGGGTGCCAGATGCCTGGGTCCCTGCCTGAGAAAAGAATGAGGTGGGGGGGGGGCTGGCTTTGTCCAAACTAACCTCTCCTGTCACTCCGGGGGATGCGAACACCCCTTCCCTCACCCCATGGGGCCTCGCCAGGTGAACCATCCACCCTAAGGAGTGTCCCTGATGTAGCTGGGAGATGCTGAGCTGGCACCAGCGTTGTTGCAGTCCTGGGTGATGCTCCCGGTGGATTTGGAGATGTCAAGGGCCAGGAAAACTGGGGGTCAATGGGCTTCCCACTGCTTGTGAGGGAATCCAGGTGTTTGGCCTCTCGTAACCACTGAGTCTGTGCCTCTCTAGCAGAAGATCACGCGCCCTGTTGCAGTCCTGCTGTCAGTGCAGATGTTGGCTTCGGTGCAGGTGGCTGCTTGAGGACAGAGCTTGGGCATGGGGAGGAGTGGGGGACAGCAGGCACCTGTGTGACTACCAAGTCAACGTGTTTTAGGGAGCTCCTGACTCACCATGACGTTCAAGCAAGCGTCCATGATGGCCCCGGAGGCCACGGCTACCACGATATCCATGACCACGATGGAGAACTCCACCGAGGCCACGGGGCCAGGAGAGAGCAAGGAGGACATGTTCACCAAGCTGAGGGACAAGTTCATGAATGAGCTCAACAAGATTCCCTGTGAGTAGCTGCCTCCATTTCCAGATATTACCCTCCTCACGACCCCACCACCGCTCTGGTCCCAGTGCAGCGTGTGGCCCCAGGTGGTGGGGTGGCTGAGGGGGGAGCTGTGGGGCTGACCATGACACTGGCTTTTGCCCTCAGTGCCGCCCTGGGCCCTCATCGCCATCGCGGTGGTAGCTGGGCTCCTCATCCTCACCTGCTGCTTCTGCATCTGCAAGAAGTGCTGCTGCAAGAAGAAGAAGAACAAGAAGGAGAAGGGCAAAGGCATGAAGAACGCCATGAACATGAAGGACATGAAGTCGGGCAACCAGGTGATGTCCTTCTGGAATGCTTGGCCTTGTCCTCGGTGGGAAAAGGCGATCCCTCCGGTTGAGTTACAGACTGTGTCGGGGCACTCAGCGCGGGCAGCAGGGAGGGATGGAGCCTCCAGGACCCTGGGGTGGGACAGTGCAGGCATGAGCCTGGAGCTGAGACAGCAGCACCCGTGCCCGGTGGCCCAGATGGGACCAGGCTCAAGCTGGCCTGAACCTGCCAATGCTCCACCTGTCCCAGCAAATATTACTTCAATCCATCGTGTCTCTTCCTCCGAGTTGCCCTCGTTTCACTGAGCTGTGCCTTTAGCCCAGAGGAGCAGGCCACTAGGCCAAAATGCCCATCACTTTGGGGTCCCCAGAAAGCCCGTGCTCAAGAGGCAGGTGCGTGGAGCAGAGCTGGGGCCATCCCCCCCGTCCTGGGGGGCAGCAGGAGGGAGGTTTGGTACCAGCTGGCTTGGGGCGACCCCAGCCATTTTCAGTGGCCCTGACCCAGGGCCGTTCGGAGGAGGTGGGAGGTTTTGGGGGTCCATTCCTGCTCTTCAGAGCCACATGGGCACCAGGGGCGTGCAGGCAGGGCTGGAGAGGTGAGCGCTGGGTGGAGATGCTCCATCATACCTGCCTGCCTGCACGTCCCCGTGGTGGTGGGAGATGGGGGGTGGGATTCCCCAGTGGAGGGCGAGGGCTGCCCTTCCCTGGGGCTTGGCAGGGCTGTACAACCCCTGATTCCCCACCTTGCTGTGGGTCCCCTGTCGATGCTCTCTGTAACATGGCTCTCTTCCCTCCCGGTGCTCTCGCTGTCCTCCCTCCCTGCTGCCCTGTCTGTGTCACCTCTCCATCCTGGGATGCCCTTCACGGTAGGTGCCACCAGGAGCCTCCTTCTCCACTGTCTGCTTCCAGGGTGGGATGGGGGATGTGGGGACACAGCAGAGAGGTGAGAAGGAGCTGGGGCTACCATCCCATGGACCAGGGAGGGGGGTGGCTTTGCCTTAGAATTAGGTTATATCTCTATTACTAAGCTAATAAAACCTGGAAATGGCCCTGTTAAGCCCATAGCACTGGCTGTCGTGCTCTCCCAAACAGGGGTTGGGGGGGGGTGTGGAGTATCCCTGCACCATTTGCAGTAGTTTGCTTGCATGCAGCCGCTGCCTGCGAGATCCAAACTTCTCTCCACCGGAGCTGAGCCTGTGTCCCAGCACCCCGAGGCAGCCCACCCTGTGCCATCTCAGCTGCACCAGCACCGGGGGCTCCCAGGCAGCTGCATGGTTGTGGGAAGAGCCGGTGCTACCCCAGGGCTGCTCTATCGGTGCTTTTTGTCCCCAGCATGGGATCTCCTTTCCCCTGATGGGGAGAACCCGGGCGTTGAGATGCCTGTGGGGTTGGGCTGCCAGAGGTCCTCAGTGGGGATGGGGGATGTGGGGCTGGGACCCTGCTGCTGAGCCAAGCACCTCGGCTGCCACTGTAGGACCAACAGGACGACGATGACGCAGAGATGGGGCTGACGGAGGGGGAAGGTGAGGAGGAGGAGAAGGAGCCGGAGAACCTGGGCAAGTTGCAGTTCTCGCTGGACTATGATTTCCAGGCAAACCAGGTGATGGAGGGGCTGGGGCTCAGCTGAGGAGTTGGGGGAGTGGGGCTTGCCCCGGGTGGGTATTTGAGAGGAGAAGTCTCCCTGTTGGACCTGGGTGGTGCAGGAGGGAAGGGGCGGCTGGGTGCTGTGCCATGGGGAGTCCTGCCCCACGCTGGACTGGAGATGAGCCCTGGGCATCTTCAGCGTGGAGCTGGGCCGTCTCGCTGAAGACACACCTCTCCCCGCTCCAGCTGACAGTGGGGATCCTCCAAGCCGCCGAACTGCCGGCTTTGGACATGGGTGGCACCTCGGACCCATACGTCAAAGTGTTCCTGCTCCCTGACAAGAAGAAAAAGTACGAGACCAAAGTGCAGAAGAAGACACTTAACCCTGCCTTCAATGAGACCTTCACCTTTAAGGTGGGCCCCTTCCTACCCACAACGTAGGACCTCATCTCCCACTCCCATCTTTCCCCTTGACCTTGTGCTGGTTCCGTATGCTGACTCTCACTGCTGGGAGCAGGCGGTCCTGGCCTGGGCTCCTCTGAGCCCATGACCAGCCTGGTTGGTGGCCCTCTTTGTGCAGGTCCCATACCAGGAACTGGGTGGGAAGACGCTGGTGATGGCCATCTATGACTTTGATCGCTTCTCCAAGCACGACATCATCGGCGAGGTGAAGGTGCCCATGAACACGGTGGACCTGGGCCAGCCCATTGAGGAGTGGCGAGACCTGCAGAGTGGCGAGAAGGAGGAGGTGAGAGCAGGACTGGTGTGAGCTCCTCAGCCCGCTGAGACCCTGGGCCAATGGGGTTGAGATGTGGGGTGTCCATGGGGCAAGCTCTGCCTTCTGGGCCAGCTCACAGTGCACAGGATGGCGATTGCTGTGCGGTCCCACCTGAACATCATGCATGTCTTGGCCATGAGAGCTGGGCAGGATCTGCCCCCATTGTTCCCCCATGCAAAAGCTTTTCTATAACAAAAGTAAAGAGCATAAGCTTGAGTGCTGTGCTGGTGCACAGGGTGCCAGCACTGAAGGTTGAGCAGGATTGGGGGTGGGGGCTGCATGCAGGACCGTGTCCCAACACTGAGGGATGATGCACTGGCACGACTGTGATATCTGCTCCCTGCTCCACTCGGCAGCCAGAGAAGCTAGGAGATATCTGCATCTCCCTCCGGTACGTGCCCACAGCTGGGAAACTCACTGTCTGCATCCTGGAGGCGAAGAACCTAAAGAAGATGGATGTTGGGGGTCTCTCAGGTGGGTGTCAGCTTGTGGGCATCCTCCTCCCATTCTGCTGTGGGGCTCTCAGCATCCTTTGCTGGGGAAGGACACTGGGGCCATCAGTCTGGCAGGGCTCGGGGAAGCCCTGTCTAGTGCCTGGCACGTCCTGCATCAGAGGGAGCCCAAGGTCTGGCTCTGGGGTGAGGGGAGATGGGGTGGGATGAGACCCCTGACTGTTAGGAAAGACATAGTGAATTTGGTCTGCCACTCTGTCCAGGGTCAGGATGCTGTAGGACATGGGTATTGAAAATGCTCCTCTGCCATCGGCTCCTGGTCCTTCTCCTCCTTGACTTGGGACCAAGAACCTCAGTCAACAGCATGGTTTATGCTAGAAGAGTTTTCCCAACTTCATCCGACGGCTGAGCTCTCTGCCCAGGAGTCCTCATTTCTCTCTAGACTTGCCTTAACCAGGAGAAGAGCAGTACCTACATGGCCGGAAGGGTTCAGCTTTATTGCTGGGCTGTCCTGCTCCAGAAATGGGGGTGACAGGCCAGCACCCACCAGTGTCACTCCACCGTCCCCAGCCCTCCTACAAGGGGACCTACAGGATGCAGAAGAGCTCCATCCCTTAGCCAGTTGCTCCCATGAATCCTCTCCAGCCCAAATATTTTGGCTTTGGCTTCCACCCACAAACATCAGAGCACCTTCACTTGTGGAGGTCTTTTTACCCAATGGTGTACCTCATCCTGGGCTGAGACTTCTCCTGAGGCCAGGCTGATGGTGTCCACTGGGCATCTCAGCCTTGACTGATGCACCCTCCTGTCCCCACAGATCCCTACGTGAAGATCCACCTGCTGCAGAATGGCAAGAGGTTGAAGAAGAAGAAGACCACAGTCAAGAAGAAGACCTTGAACCCCTACTTCAATGAGTCTTTCAGCTTTGAGATCCCCTTTGAGCAGATACAGGTTTGTCCGATGACTTCTCTGGGAGGGAGGCAGGGTGGGGCCAATGGGAGAAGTCCCGCAGCTGCCTGAGCCAACATCCCAGCCTTCTCAGCAGCCTGAGCAGCTCCTGCCAAGCTCCTGGTCTGGTTACCCCTGGAATACATCCAGTCCCAACCTGGGTCTGGCCTGATGCTGAAGGCAGCTGGTGCAGGGGCAGGGGTGGGAGGCTGAGCAGCACCCACGGGAGATGCAACCCCAACCCAGATCACAGCTGGAATAGGGATTTCCTCTGCACCTGGTCCTATAGTGCTCACGGCAGGCATAGCAGGGACCCCTCAGTGGTCCTAGGGGCATTTTAGACCATTGGTAGGTGCCCTCTGCTCGTCCATGCCCTGCCCTAGCCCCTGCACGTGCCCATCGCCCCAGCCCAGCCCCGTCCAAGCCCTGTAGCCCACAGCTCCTGCCCAGCCCCACACCACCCCTTGGTGACCTTTCTCAGGTGGTCACGTCAGGATGAGCTGGGCCCCCACTGTGGCTCTTCAGCCCTGGGATCCTTGGGGAAGGAAGCGGAGGAGGCAATGGGCACAGAGGGCACGCTGCTCCAAAACGGGCCCCAGCAGGGCTCAGCAGGGCTGGGGGCAGCACGTAGGCTGTGGAGCAGTCACGGCTGCTGTGCCTTTCTGCCCCTCTGAAGAAGGTATCTCCCCATAGAAAGTGCAGGTGGTGATCACAGTGCTGGACTACGACAAGCTGGGGAAGAACGAAGCCATCGGCAAGATCTTCACGGGCTGCAACGCCACTGGCACAGAGCTGCGGCACTGGTCTGACATGCTGGCCAACCCCCGGCGGCCCATCGCCCAGTGGCACTCGCTGAAGCCAGAGGAAGAAGTAGATGCAGCTCTCGGGAAAAACAAATAGGAAGATCTGCCGGCCAGCGCGGCATGGCACTGCGGACAGTTGAAGCGACCCAGAGCTACTGATACCTCAGTTACGCAACCTTTGGTTTTGTTTTTTTTTTTTTTTTTTGTTCTGTTTTAAGCTGAAATACCCTTTGGTGGCTGTGGAAGGGTTTCCAGACAGTCCCAATAGCTTCCAGGGGAAGAGGTTAAAAACACGGATGGTTCTTTTCGTTCTTCAGCATTGCTCCCTTCTGCTGCATGTCCCATCGCCTCCGCCCACCATCCCTTCCAGGTGCAAAGCCACCGTCACGCCCGGGACCTTCCCCGGTGGCCGTGTCACCAACCCGCAGCATCACTGCTGCCGTCCTTCCCTCGGGCTCACGTGGGGAACCACTGAACGTTGCACAGAGGTGATACTGGAGCTTGAGAGCGCGAGGTGACCAGACCCACTGTGCTTGCTTGGGGCATGAACAGCTGCGTGGACATCAACGTGGTGGAGAAGACCCTGTGCAGGAGAACCCAGGTGCCTCCCCCTCCTGCTCTGCCTCCCTCTGTCTGGGAAGGGTGAAAGCTGTGGTTTCGGGCCAAGGATGGCCAAGTGTCCCCAACCAGCTCCAGGTTTGGTTTCTTCTGGGCAAAGGTTTGCAGGGACCACAGTCCCCGCTGCGGCCGGCGTGGTGGTGGGGTGCTGAGCCTTCGGCGTTGCAGCTGGAGCCGCGGGGGCCGGTCTGAGCACGGGGAGTACTGGGGGGGGGTCTGCTCTGAGGAGACACATGGTGGGATGTGCATGGAACGGCAGCGCAGCACAGCCCACCACCACCTCAGGGGCCAAGCTGAGTGATCTGCGTGTGTGTCCCTCCATGCTTGGCTGACACCTGTGTATCAGGATGCTTTCACAAGGCAGGCTTACGCTGAGACGTCTCCAAATAGGGGGCGGGGGGGGGCAGCCCCTCGAGCGGTACCAGGTGCTTCCCCAAAGGCCATTGCGTGTCCCCGGGGCTCGGCTCCGCCGTGGGCACCCCAGCACCACCTTGGTGCAGCTGGGGGGCTACGGGCAGCTCTGGCCCCCCCCCACCACATCCCCCCACCACGATGCAGGTGGGGAGGGTGAGTGTGAGCCCATGGGCAGCAAGGGACCAAAGCCCCTGACCCCCGTGAGCTGCTGCTCCCCACTGGGCTGCCGGCTGCTGAACCCACCCTGTCCCGCTCGCCTCGGGGCTATAAGCCATATCCATGTTCCTGACAGTGGGCAAGAGCTTCTCCGGGCCACCTCTCCTACCATGGGACAAGCCAGGACCAAGTCCCTGAGCTGGAAAGCCAGTGTTGTTCCCTGCATCTGGGAGAGGGTCCAGCAGCCCTGCCCAGTTCAGCCCAGTCTGTAATGGAGCACTGATGTGAGCTGCTGTCCCTGTCCCAGCTCCGACTCGCCAGCAGCCTCGTGCTCCTTGCTGCATTTTGCTTTCCTGGACTCGGTTTTGTGGTGTTTTGGCACAGTTAAGCAGTGAGCGGTGTTGCATCTTCAGCGAGGGGGGCTTGCAGTGGAGAAGCAGAGCTCCAGCGTGCAGCCGGGGATGTCCCAGGCATCGGGGACACTGTTCTGGGGTCCAACACCTGGGCTGGGACCTCAATGCAGGGCGCCCCAAGGCCGGGGACAAAGTGCCAAAACTGAGCTTGCTCCAGTGCTGTCGGATGCTTCGACAGCATCCTGCAGCCCCCGCTGCCCAAAGGGCATCTCGGCCCCAGCTGGAGGTGGGGAGGTGATGGAAAACTTGGTGGCAGCCACAGCTCAAGGGATTCAGGTTGGACACGGGGACAAACCCCTTCCCCCGGCAGGATGTGCAGCGCTGGGACAGGTCCCCAGGGAGGGATGTCTCTGTCCCTGGGGGAGGTTCAGGGCTCGGTTAGCCAGGCTGCGGTGTGTGTGTGTGTGTGGGGGGGTTGGACTGGAGACCCCCAAAGGCCACTTCCACCGCCACCTTGGCTGCTTCGTGGGCCACAGAGCGAGTGATCCCACGGGCCCATCTCCAGCTTTAATTAGTCCCTTTTCCTAACGGACGTGCCAGTGTCAGCAAACAAGGTCCTGCCCTGCTCATGTAGCCAAAGGGAGAAGAAATCTTGGGGTGCTTTTAATTAACGGGGAGTTGGGAGTGGCTGATGTTCCTCGGCTGGGGCACTGGCAGGATTTGGGCTCTTGAAACAGTCTCATTTTGGGGTCCATCTGGTCACTGGGGTGGGGGGTGGGGGGGGGCGTTTGCCGTATGTGGAAATGGGTTAAAAAGAAGGAATTGGAAAGAGCACTAAACCCCCCCTGTTGGCAGTCAGTGAGTGTGCACGGCCCCGCAGCTTTCCTCAGAAAGCAGGCAGAGGGGGTGCACGCATGCTTGTGCACACACAGATGTGCACGCCCTCGTGTGTACACCCCCATGGGTGCCCCCCACGCCCCCCAGATCCACCACATCAGCTGGGGCCTCACCAGGGGCAGAGGTCCCACCTGGCTGGTTTCCACTCGGACTCTTTAAGCCTTGGGGTGGGGGGGGGAGACTGTGACTTTAATACATATATATCTTTTTTTTTTAAATAAAAACGGGAAAAATAGCCCACATATTAAAGCCATCTGCGCTGCCTCTGACCCCCCGCTCCCCCCCCCCCCCCCACTTAGTTGTGTGTAGTTAAAAATATATGGAGACATAGCTGTATATACCATGAACAGTGCATGAGATGCAGCCACACAGCAGTAGCAGCATGGTTACCGCCGAGCGCGGCGCTGCACGCTCTGCCCCACCGCTCGCCGCCGCCGGCACCTCCGTCCCCACCGCCTTCCTCCAGCGAGGCAGAGATGGCAACGAACAAAACTCATTGCTCGAGTGCCCTCCACTGCCCTGATTATTTTCCCCCACAAATAAAAAAAATAAAAAAAATTTTAAAAAATCATGTAAAAGAAGAAAATAATGCCAAGAAGCAAAGCATGCCAAGCCAGGCCCGCCAGCGGAGGGTGAGCCGTCACTGACGCAGCCGTGACTTCCATCTGTGTCTCGTTCCTGTATCTTGTCGTCGCATTTATACCGTGGCCGGGTAGCGGCAACATCGTGGCTTCGGTGTCCTGTGTCGTGTTGGTGTGTTCCACTGTCAGAGCAACTTTAGAAGCCATATTAGACCACGGTGTGCCGGGACCCCGCCGGGGGTGGGCCCACAGGTGAGCCGGGACCCCCTTCCCCCATGTGTCCACCGTCGTTCGTTCCCCCCCTCCCCGTCCCCCACTCCCCCCCCCTTCCCCCCCGGTTTCGCGGGGCTCAGCGCTGGAGCCGGGCTGCCAGGCTGAACTGCACCAGCCGCCGCGCTGGTGCCCACGGATGCCACCGTCGCGCCAGGTGAGGGGACGGGGCGGCGCTGGGCACAGATGCTGGGCCCGACCTGCTGGTGGCATTTCTACAGTGGAAAAGCTGGGATGCGGCAAAGGTCTGGTGGTGAAAAGGCTTTTTGGGGCGATTTGGGTTATTTCTGCTGTGTCTGGGTTGGGTCGTTCCGGTTTTGCAGACAAGAGCTGGCGTTCCCCTCTCCCGGCTGCGCCGCGGTGCAAACCCAGTTGTGCCACGGAGATGCTCAGCTTTGGTCTCGTGGGGTTAAAAGGAAGCGAATCCACGAGGCTTGGCAACAAGCTCGGCTTTCTTTTCCTTTTTTCCCCCAAAACCTGGGAGGGAGGAGCCAGCTCCTTTGGGAGTCCCAGGCTCCGGCCGATCCTGGAGTGAAGGGCCCCGCTCTGCCCCGTCCCGGCCCCCGCAGCACTCGGCTCCGGCGGGAAGCTGCTTTTAAAGCCCCTTCCTCTCGTGTGGACTCTGTTGTTTCCGTCTCTTATCGTTAAATGGTTATTTTGTAATGATATCTGTCTCCTTATTAAAGAAACGAGCTGAAAGGAGCCCCGGTTCCCTTCTGGTCTTGCTGCGGGGGCTGTGTGGGGTGTCTGTGGTGGGGGGCAGGTCCCAGGGCTGTGAGCCCAGGGCTGATGGAGGCGTGGGGGTGCGAGGGGAATCCCATGAGGGCCCAGGTCCCCCCCAAACACGAGCATCCTCACACCCATGGTGTGGATGTCTCCAGGCAGCCTGGAGCTCTGGTGCCCCAGCAGAGCACGGTTGGCCCAGACGTGGGGTGCAGGTGGGAAGACTTCGAAGGTCCCCACTAAATTCTTCTCCCCCAACACATACAGCTTGGTCCATATATTCACGTTCGGGTCCTGCCCTGCTTTGCAGAGGCACTGGATGCCCCAAACCCCAAGGGGAAGAGCTCGAGTTGCAGTAATCGCCTCTGAAGACCGGAACAGGCAGAGGTTTCTAGCAACCCCACTTGGGACAAAGGCTCCAAGATGTGGCACCAGCGCCCGGGGCTTTGCTCCAGGTTTGTCCTGACCAAGCTCCTGAGCAAATACAGGGCTTGACACCACGGGGGGAGATGGGCCTGAACCCCGCTGGGGTTCAGAGGTGTCAGACGGGACCCTCTCCCGTCGTCCTCCCCCACGGGCGGGGGGTTTTAGGGACAGGCATCCACAGCTCCTGCGTCTGAGCTCTCCCTGAGCGGGGCAGCGCTGTGCTCCGCGCGGCCGCAGGTATGTCCCTGTAGGGCATTTCTGCTTCTATAGACCACTGATACTGCCGTGCTATGGAAGTTTTGGGAGAAGCGGGGCAGTCTAGGCTAAACAACTTGCAGCAGCTTCCTAGAGTCCAGAAAGATGGAAGCAAAGCCAAAGCTTCTATTTTATCAACTCTTATTTTTATTCATTTATAAATACTGTTGTGTTTACAAGCATCATAGATGTGAATATTATTCCCAAACTTTCAAACACATAATAGTTATAATACTATATAACAACAACCAGTAAAACAAATCATTCATCTCAGGGTTTGAAAGGCCACTCAAAAGTTGCATAAAAATACATTCTCTCCCCATCTCGTAAGCTAGTCCTGCTTCTCCAAGGAGTTTATTTACAAAGAGCCATCATCAAACTCGCAGCCACAACAGGCGGGTTCACCCCAAGCAATAAAAATGAATTCACCCCAAGCAACTGCTTAGAAAAAAAGCTTGTGTTCTCCAATGGAGATCACGTCTGGCAAATGCTCTGGTTCAAATAGGGATCAGTTTTAAAAACTGCTTGCTCTGCACTCTGTCCCAAGCGCAGAGTGCAAGGTGTCCTATTCGTTACCTCCTCAGTGCACTGGTTATGTCAGGCATTAAGTGAGACCAAAAAAATTCATTCTCAAGAATTCGTTTTGCAATTGCATCATCATCATGAATTACTCACAGCTTTGGCTAGTCAGTGAGACTAAACTGTTGGTGGGTCCTCTACCCTAGTCAGAGTTCAGGGGGATAATCCAGTGCTAAGCAGACACTTTATCTAAAGTGGTTTGGCTTAAGGTGCCACGCAGAGGAATTAAGCCTTCCGCACCCTTTGCATACTGTTCCTTAGGATAAAATGCAACGAGTGTCCTGGTAGGAAGGGGCAAAACGTCAGTGCAGGATGGATTTGTCAGATTGGGTTGAACCCTCTCCCTAAAACAGATACCAGGCTTCTTCACACTGCCAGGAACCTGCCTCGTGAGAAGAACAGGATCTTCGTCTGAAATCTCGTCCCTCGTCCTGCTGGGATGCACAACCTGAGACGCTGCGCCAACCACCAGCAGCCTCAGCAGGTATCTTCTTCTCCGCGTGGCACAGAAGGGACTGGACTCCTGTTCAGAGCTGAGAGAGCCCAAGTCTGAAGCGAGGAGTGGGTCACCAAGAGAAAAAACATCAAGAACTGCAGAAGTACTCACATAAAGAGTGCACCAAGTGGGAACGGCGTGCAGAAAAAGCATTGACCGGATCTCAAGACTTAAAGCTGTTAAATATAGCAGGGTTAAAATAAAGTAATATAAAAAGGATGCCCGGCTTAGGCAGTGCTCTGCAGAAACCCTGATGCCATTACCAGCTTTGGTCTCTTCCTCCCCAAAGCACAGCAGCAGAGGAAGGGTCTCAGTGTACCAGGAGAAACGGCATCTCATGCCGCGCACAAACAGCTCCACTGGCTGAAGAGCAGTGGAAGAGGAACCTCCATCTAGAGCTGCCTGGGGAAAAACCAGCAGCTCTGAGAAGAGCTAGAGAGGTGGAAACAGGCGGGGGTGGGGGTGGCGGTGGGGCAGGGAAATGGAGAGTTAGGGGGAAAAAAAAAAAAAAAAACAGAAAAAACCCACGCTTTCTGAAGCAATAACCAGTAAAATGTTCCAAAAAGCCCAGGATTGACTGATAAATTTTACCCTGTTGAGCAAGCTCAAGAATTATGCTCATCTTCAAGTATCTCATCTATCTCTCACGTAGTGGAAAGTGTCCCACCAGCCTGGCAGGAGCCATGAGCCAGTCAGCAGAGGTGCCCGGGAACGCAGGTAGAACCTCTTCATGGCAACCTCCAAAGTCAACGACCGAGACTGCAACTCTCAGCCAGAAAGAGCAGGGAAATCAAAGGACAAAGGAAATGAAAGGACAAATATGGAAGGATGTAGATGGGAAAGAGGTTTGGATACAGCAGGAAGTCTCTGAGAGGGAAGGTATCATTCGAGATGAGTCTATTAAGGGGAAGCTCAACAGATCTGATGACAGGTTACTGCTGCTATCATCAGAATCACACAGCACATAGAGGAGCCACAGTCTAAATGCCCATAGAGAGAACAATTTCAAACTGTTCCGAGTACGTATAACATTAAAGAGGGGTTTTTTTGAGGTTTCCTTCAAGGTCAAGGCTTATTGCAAGCTTTTGACGGATTAAAAACTGTACCCTAGTGATACAGTTACCTGCATGCCCAAGGGTAGCTCCTTGTCCCTCTGACACCAGTGCACACACACCTCCCCAAGGCACGTGGGAGGACAAGTGATCACCGCTTCGTGCTCCTCTGCCTTGAAACCCAGCTGCATCAAGCCTCCTCGCCACCAGATGGGTGGGTGGGACTGGACTCTGGCATTCCCTCCCTCTACCAACCAACCAGTGCTACCTTTCCTGTGCTCAGCCTCTTGCTGCAAATCAAAGCAAGGTACCCAAGATACCAGACCAGACTCCTCTACAGGGCTCTGCCTTCCCGGAGATAGCAGGAAAACGTCCCAGGCGGCTGTTGGGACAGGGAGACTGGTTTCTGGTGTGGGTACAGCTCCCTGCAAGGTGATTCACGCTCATATGCACGTGAAAGCAGCAGAGGATCTCTAGGGGTTCAAGCTCGTCCTTCAGAAAGCTTGGAGAGTATCTGTGATACATCCTATCCAGAGGAGAATGAGTCCAGATGCAATTAGCAGATGCTACTAACGGAGACAGGAGCCCTGGAAGGATGTGGTGTGATACCAAACTACCCAGGCTGCAGAGGAAAGGCAGGGTGAGGGATAAGGGGTCTGATGCTGAGCATCAGTGCTGATGTTACTGAACAGGTTTGAAATCTTGTATTAAATAAAAGACTCAGTCTACTGGGGTGAAAGGATTAAGAAGGTCTCTGTGCAAAGCAGCTGTCATCAGCCTGTGGCAGAAATCAGCCCTGGTAGCTTTCACAGCATCACATTTTAACCAGAGTCCCACATCTCGGGTGGGTTGATGTGCATCCTCAGAGTCCCAGCCCATGTTCACATTTCCCATCTGGAAAGGGCTCGGATGTGCTGGGTTAGTTCTTTAGGTGTCACTTTTTAAAGTAGGAGCTACCTATTCCAGATCGGAGTCCACCACCAAATGCTGGGCTTCTGGAAGAAGTAGTTTTGGCAGCTCAAACCCAGTCCTCAGGTTTCTCTTCTCCCTTGAATAAAATGTCCGAGATACCACAACATGCTTAAATTAAAAACAATAAAATGGCAGGGGTGTGTGTTGTGGGGGAAATAAGGGCAGAAAGGGAATGTACAGCAAAGGACAGGGCAAGACAGGTGTGACAGATTGATCCCATGGCTGAAACGCTTGCTGTACTTGACAGGAGGAAAAGAGCAGGGTAGGGCTTGGTGGCGGGGTTGGCAGCTTGTGTAGGGCACCCCTCTTCGTCCTGCCTTTGTTCAGGCTTCCTATTTGGAGAGCTTGCTGATGACACGAATCAGGGCTCCATTCTCATCCTTGAGCCTTTGGTTGTCCGACTTCAGCTCTGTCAAAACCTGCAGAGACAAAGACAAAGTGGGGTTACAGCTCAGCGCTGCTGGCCGGACAAACCCTACGGCTCAGAGGGAACAGCAGGGATGTCCCTGCCACCCAACACACTTTTAGTGTTGATAATTTCTCTGTAATGTCTCCAGGATTTTTACAAACTGGCTGTCAGGTGTGGAGGGGTTGAGAGGGGGCCTGAGCACAGCAAAGATCCAGGGTGGCCCTGGAGCCATGAAAGCCCATGGTGAGAAGCAATGCCACAGCCCCAGCACTAGGTCAGGATCAGGCCGGGAGGGCAGGAACCATTTCTGGGCTGTTTCATCCCAAACTTGTTTCCAGAGGCTACGTAGGGCTCAGCAGGAAACTATACAGCTGTTTTTTTTCTGATTTGTTTGTTCCATTTTGTCAGAACTAGAGGGGAAAACAAAGGTTTGAAATTCTAACTCAGGACTGGATCAAGCCTGACTTGCAAAATCTCTTTAGAATAAAATCAAATCACTTTGGGATCTCACAGATGTTTAATGCAAACGTGCATGCCAGGGCCAGAGGGCTGGTAGAACATACTGACACTGGAGATACCTCCTCGGTGCTCCACTTTGAATGCTGAAGCTCAACCAAGGGTTGCAACACAGAAAAAAGCTAGAGCGCTTTTAGTTGGAAAAAGAGGAAGAAATAGCTTTGACAAGACCTTTGCAGCATTTCTCACTGGCAAAACCCCCCTCCCGACTCCCCGTGCTCCCCAGCCGGCGGGCGGGTGACCTTCAGTGTCCCCAGCTGTCTGGGGGCTGGACGGAGACCCCACGCTCCTGTCTCGGGTCGTGACCCCAGAAGGGGTAACGCGCACGGCGGGTGCCAGCGGCCCGGGGGGGCGCCCAGCCCCAGCGCCTGCGGGACCAGGCCAGGGTGGAACCAGCATGAGCTCAGCGGTGACTTCCCTCTGCCGAGGTGGATCCTACGGGAATTCCCTCCAAATTCAAAATCCCCACTAAGCCTTCTCCTTCCTCCTATGCCGGAGTTTCAGCTCTGACCCGCGGCCCCCCACTGCCCACCGCCGCCGAGCGCTGGCGGCTCCCGGGGCAGGCACCGGCTCCCGCCGCTCCTCCCGCAGCGATTCCTGCCCTTCACAGCCCGGCCAGGCCCTGCTGGCCCCCACGCACCCAGCCTCGTCCCCACCGGCGCCGGGAGCCCCACATGGGAGGGTTTGCAAGAGAGAGAGGAGGGGGAAAGCAGAGCGTGGCAGGATATTGAGGAGAGGGTGAAACTGTGCGATGGGCCGGCTGGAGCTTCTGCTAGCGATGCTTAAAAGCGTCTCACCGGACCCAGCGGTGGTGCGACAGGCACATCTCCATGACAGGGCTGTCACCAGAACAGCAGTCGTGACTCCTTATGCAATTTCTCACAGCCCGGTGAGAGGCATCACCCATCACCAAAGTGCTCAGGAGCCCAGAGAAACGGGGAGAGCACTTGCTGCCTCACTCTGCACCCCTCCGTTTCCTCCCAAGCTTCATCCAACACCCACAGCCCAGCCCGGTGCCTTCAGCCCGGTGCATCGGACAGTGCAACCACCCACTGGGGTCTGCAGATGGACAGTCCCTGTCCTCTCTATGTCACTGCCCGGGGCGGCCTGGCAGTCCTGAATGGGTCCATCACTGCAGCAAGGTAGTGATACGAAGCTCTGCCACTTGCTTTGGTAGAGATAATCTGTCAGAGGTTCCCAGAACCAACATCAGAAAGCAACCGTCCCAGTTCTACAGCTTACTGGAAGCTCTGATGGTGGCTATGCCCGACACACATGCTTCAGCACAACTCTGGTGATTTATTTGAAAAGGAAGGAGCATATAAGTACGCGTAAGGCAAGTGTTCTTGAAAAGTTTCCCAGCTGTAATCCCACTCCATCAGTTTCCATTGATGCCTTCTGAAAACTAAAAATCAACCATACAAAATTTCATTCCTCCTAGGCCAATGACATTCCTCCCTTTGAAGCAAAGCATCCTCAAGTCAGGTAAAATAAACTGCACGTCAAGCAGGCTGGTAATGCAGGGGCCTGAAAATGGAGAAGGTGGCACTTCAGAAATCACGTGGATTTTGGGAAATGAGATTCTTGGAAAAGCACCACTGCTGCAAGAGCATGGTAAATCTGTCAGAGTTTAAAACAGTGACATCACTGTATAGCTGTGATGTCTACAGGCACCGGTGAGACAGGTTTACGGGTACCAGCATCATCCTGTGTCAGACCTACTAAGAGTTGAAAAAAAGTCAGTAGAGCTTGCAGACACACGGCTCTTCTCCAGCTCAGACACCAGCTGTGAATTAATTGCAAACCTATAAGCAAGCTGGGAAGGATCAGTGCACCCATGTCTCAGCCAGCCTGCACGAGAGACAAGGCGCGTCACAGCAGATGGATGTTAGCAGGGGGAAAGCGATAACACGAATATTTCCTAGGAGAAGAAGAGAGACCGATGACTTACAGTTTGTGAAACGTTATTTCTCTGAATCTGGAAATAGTTTTGCTCAATTCTCCCTCTTAGATCTCGAAGCACACCGGGAAGGAGAATGACTTAAACTCACCGCTTGTGAGGAGGAATGAGTCGGTGACACGTTCCAGAATACTTTTGCAGATTTAAACCAGAAAGGTGGTGAGATCATTTCATCTGACCATCTGCACAATTCAGGCCACATAACACAAAACACCCCCCCCTCTCAGCCCCTGTGATACACGCGTGGTCTTGAACTGAAACTCCTGGAAAGGGGAAGCCACAATTCCCCTGGTTAGTTTGTTTCTACGGTTAATCATCCTTGATATAATTTGTGTGCTAAGAATAGATTTTTTTATACCTTAGTGCCACTTCCAGCCCACGAGAGCATACTGCTTCTTCCTTTTTTTAAAAAAATAGCTATGTCTGAAGGGATCTGAATATCCCTACTAACCTGCAAAAGACAGGTAGGGCCCTAAGAAAGAACCATTTACAGCTTTATTTTAGCACTGAACCAATGAAGTAGCAAGAAAGGATATAATTTAACTGTATGCTGTGTGAGGGCAAAGCTTACGGAAGGCTTGTCCTTGGATTTCAAACACTAATTGCTCTGCACTGAATTTAAAACAGAAGATGAAAAAAGAAAGCGCACCTGGTCCAGCTTCTATTGCTTCCCCCGCCTTGGTGCCAGACTGCAGGAGGCAGAGGGGATGCTGCAGCCTGGGAACTCAGGACTCAAAAATCTCTGTTTAAAATGAGGGAAGGAGCTTGTCCTCTTTGCTCAGGTGACCAAGAAAGCGTGTTGAGGACCGCCCGCTTTTAGGTTTTCTAAAAATCACCTTCCTGTCTAAAATGTGCGCTTTTCCTAACAACCCTAGAAATTTATTGCTTTGTTCATTCAGACTTCGGATAACCTTATTTGCTGGGTGCCAGCTTATCACTGAACTAAGTCCAATTAAAAAAAGAACTGTATTATGAGCAGACACGTAGCATAAAACACCTATTTTGAGGTAAGGTAACGGGGAAGAGGCTGCTGGCTAACCCACTGGCTCTGACAAGCCACCCCAAAGCCACTTGCCGGTGGTGAGCCAGAGGGAAGCAGCTGATCCATCACTCCTCAGTAGCCATCTCAGTGCCAGCCACCCAGCTCTACGCCTTCACATCAAGGCAGGGAGCCCATCCTCCTGTTTCCCTCCTGGATGAGGGGAGACATGGATCCCATCCACGGGGACAAGGCAAGGCCCCGGTGCGCTCGGTTAGTAAAATGGCGAGGTCAGCATCATCCGCCAAGCACAGCAAAAGTCAGCAGGACTGCAGAGAGCCTCCAGCGAAACCCGGCTTCAGCTGGGCACCAACACCATGCTTTTGGAGGATCCTTTGCCGCATGCTGCTTTTGAGCCACAAGCTTCATCAGGTGCCCTTGAGAGCAATGAGGCGAGGGGGAAAAGCCCAGCCAAGGGAGCGGAGACCTGCCTGGAAGAGTGGAAGAGGGAGGCGAGATGAGCCGGAGGGAAAGCAGCTACAGCTCCTCTGATTCGGAGGGCTTGGCAGGCAGAGAAAGTCTGGCTACGACCCGGGTCAGAGCCCTGTTTTCAGCCAGCAGTTGCTCATTCATCTGCCTCAGAGTGTGAATCTGTTTGAGCTGGTGGAGATTCTGCAGAGTGAGAGGAGTGGACAGAAAAATACAGAAAAAACACCACGAAGACAAAAGGGCACAGAAATGTGAATTTAGTCCACAAGCAGTAAAAGAACAAAAGAGAATAAAAGAAAAATTAGTAGCAGTGAGTTCTGGATGGGCAGCAGCTCAGATGTAGGTGGAGAAAGCCTTACAACACACTGAAGATGTTTTGGGAACCGTCCCTTGCTCCAGGGGCCCCCAAAGCCTTTAAAAAGGTGAAATAAAGGGAATTCCTAACACAAAAAAGCAGGACAGTCTCCTGCAGGTTATATTCTAGTTTACCCAGACAGTGAGCTCCAGCAGGACACAGGCCCTGGACTTAGGAACCACTGTGAAAATTATCACCACTGACTTACCACCTACGCAGGCTTTGAAAATACTGCTGGCAACTGAGAATTTCTTTAAAACTCCTTTTCTTCATCTGTCTCTAAAAGCTAAAGCAGTCTTGTGTAGCAAAGAGTGATCAGAGCTTCATGGGAGATTTTAAAGGCACAGACTGAAGCACCTGAAAGCGTCACTGTCCCGCAGCAGACACGCACTGCCTGTGCTCACAGTCCTCGGCCCTGCGGCCCTGCAGTGACGGCTCTTGGGTCTGCTCAGGCTTCAGCCCTGCCAAAAGGTCTGGGCCGTGTGTGGGTTTGTCATCCCTGCCTGGATTCAGCTTTTCTCTGTTATGGGGCTCAATTTATCTCTGATCTCCAGAGGTGAAACGTCAGAACCTTAAACTGCTCATTTTAACTAAAGGAGCTTGAATGACAGCAACTTACACAGGAGGCACAGGAAAACATGGCATTCCTGGTTACAAAAGAAACAAGTGGGCAAATGACAGTGTAGAAATTGAGCCCCAAATCTGGGGCTAGCACAGGTATAGTGGGAGCAGGGAGATACAGAACATAAAAGCGATGAGGAAGGCAAAATGGGAAAATGGTAGAAGCCATGCAGACATCACCATTTCTACAAGGATGACATTCTTCCCAGTGATGCTAAAGCAAAACCATGTGCTGGACATTTACACTAAGCACGTGTGCTAGGACATGCTGAGGGCTGCAGAGCTGCTTTCTGAGCAGCATCCCGTCCCTCCTTCCTCCCAACAGCTCGTCGGGCAGTGGGGCCACATGAACGAGAAACCTTCCTCCACGGTGGAGGGAGAACAGACACTGGGCAGGGGAAAAGCAGGAAGGGAAACATCTGCAAGAAAAGGAGTTTTAAGTTCAAGTGAACAAATCCCAGCACAGAACCAAAGGAGCCCCACAAACCAATGCGCACCTCCCTGAGTCCTCTTACTTGTGAGCTTGCAGTGGCAGGCAGAAGATGGAGGGAAGGGGATTCCTTTCTGCCATTTAATTAGCAGAAAGTGCTCAACGGGAGGTCACTGTCTCCTTAACCAGAAACAGCACGGGGAAACCTACTGTGATGCAAAGAACTTGCATGAACTTCTAGCCAACTTGCATGACATGGCGCTGGCTGCAGTTGGCAAGGAACCTGCTGCCTCCCAGGACATTCTGTCCAAGGGCTCATTCCTGTATAAAAGAGAGGTACTTTGTGTAGCCCCCGTCCATCAGCTCAGTTCTTAGCTTCCCAAAAGCACTACCGCTGCTCTCCATTACGGAATCAAGATGCCTTGTCCAAAAGCCTTGCAAAACCAACGGAAGCAAGGCAGGTGAGCGCAGGGAGCCAGCAAAGGATGGGGTTTGAGCCCCCCAAGGGCATCAAACTGCCAAAGCAGCTCCTGCTGCTTGGACTATGCCAACTCAATGCTGCCACTGGATAAATCAACAGGTCCTGAGACAGAGCCGTGGCCGATCAACTGCAGGACAGTTTATTTATTTGGTGAGAGGGCATTTCAGCAGTGAGATCCCCTCTCACCAAATCTCAGCCATCTATCCATCACTTAATCTGCCCGAGCTGTGCCTGCTCCCCCTGTGCTCAGTGAGGACACAGACAGACATCACACATGTGACCTGGGATACCTCACATCCAGGAGCCACCGAAAGATGGATTGTACTGGAAGAGTCACTTCTTTTAGTGGTACCATGGATAATAAACGTCCTCTGATTTATCACAGGGAGCACAGCTGAGCAGCTGACTGGCAGAAAACGTCAAACACATGTAAAACAGGGTGACATGCTATGCAAGATGGAAAGGATTGTGATTGTTTTAGAGACCACCTTTATTTTTCCATACCAATATAGCACGAAACCTCAGCATGGAACAATCGGATGCAGCTCAGCCTCAGCACGCTGCCACAGACAATAAAAAGGATCACTTATGTAAAAATATGTGTAGGACAGCCTTCTATTTATCCAAGAAACCTAGCAAAGGCTGCAAAGCTGGGACTGAAGCCAAGGGTGAAGACCAGAATCTGGATGATACCGCTGTGATTGCTTATCACTCTGCTTGATACTGGCTTACTGAAAGCAGGTTTCTCAGTTCAACTGTACCTGCTTTCAATTAAGGGATTTTGTGCCTGCAACACTAGGGGAAATAAAATTGCCCAAAGCATGCACAAGGTACAAAGCCAGGAGGTGCAGCGCTGCTATGGAAAAATGAAGCTTCTGTGACCTTCAAGAAAAATTGTTGTGTTAAGTTGGGACCTCGGGCACTTGGCATTGAATTCAGTTCAATGCAAATGCTAATTTTCTTTCTCCTTCTTCAGCCAAGTTGCTGTATCTCCAGTCAAATTCTGCAGTCACTTAGGAAAATACTGCACTGCTCTGTCACCTTCACAAGAGCAGGTCTGCAGGAGCAGCTCTGGCATCAAGGAGTTCTTGAGGTTATTGAGTTTGTCCTGCTCTTCTCCATTTCTTGATTGCTTCATTAGCAGGGGTTAAACTCATGAAAGGAACAACGCTCATTACCTCAAGCATAGCCTGAAGTACAAAGCGTTCCTGTGCCAGAAACCCAGGACTGTCCTGTGACCACTCCTGTGCCTCCTCCTCCTCCGAAGAAGAAGTCAGCTGCAAGAAGAGGAAAGCCCTGGCCAGATTTGATGCACAGGACTGGACACAGACACCCCAGGATCAAAAGGTTGGACGTGAGTCATGCTGGACTGCTCCAGTTCAAAGACAAGTGGGAAGAATCCCCAAACCCACAGTATTACCCGAGACCTAATAACCTGGCATGCTTGGTTGTTTCCCCTTGCTGCTCTCCACATTAAATGAAACTGGTGGAAACTGGTGCATTTGCTTAAGTCACTTTTGATTCTGCTTGACACCTATTCAGCTGGTGCAAGAAGCAGGGATGAAAGTCTAACCAGAATTAATAGATTTGTTTTCCTGGCTCAACTTCCACACTAGGGATTAACACAGATGCTTTGCGGAGGTTATCTCATTCTAGGCAAACCCAACGGGGCTGACTCTCCTGCTTTAAGGCACAATGAAAGTGGACACGGAAGTCTGCTTCCTTTATGGACATGTCCTGTTCAACATTTTTATCTTCAGAGATTTTATACTCCTTTTTATGGAGTGGCTGTCAAAAATCACATCACAGTGCACTCAGATACTCACCACATGCTTGAGATTTTGCAAAAACTAGTGGAAATGCAGTAGCAGCTTAGAAGAGGTATTTTTAAATTTCATGCCTATTTATTCTACTAACAAAAGGCCACTTTGGTTGCTCGATGTAGCAAGGACACAGCAGAGAGCAAAGAGTAAGTACCACTCTCGAGGACCTGACAGCTCATTTTCAGTTACAGCACAGGCTCTTTTAGCGCGTGTCTCCAGCACGTCTCTCAGGGCAATATAACAACACGTCAAACTTCTAGCAGTGCTTCTCCTTTTGCACCATCTTGGCTTCCATCAATCTGCAGCTCCAGACTACCTGAACCAGAGGTGCTTTTGGCTGCATCCAACAGTTCCTACAGGCACCTTCTTTCATTAATTGCTTTCTGAACTAATATAAATGTTTCAAAACCAACAGGCCACTAGAGGACACCAATTTGTCTTTATACTCGATGGCTTGAGCTGGTTTGCAGAGTGATCTGCATAGCTGAAGAAACAACACAAACTGCTACTGTCTGCATTTTCTCTTGAAGGTCATATTTCTGTAATTACAGGAAGGTCTCTCTGGAGTTAAAGGTTGCTATCTGTTCAGTGAATAAAGAATTTGGAATTTAGGCATATTCAGTCCTTTCTGCTTCCACATCCACATTTATTTTCTCCTCTGTGAGAGAACAAGCCTTTACAGTAAGACTCCACCAATTTGTTCATCTACTTATTGCAGTAGAAGATGCAGCACAAGCCAACGGCTCCTTTCAAAGTCGTATGCTCGGAAAATATACGAAGCTTCAAATAGAAATATAAAGTCGGAACAGGGTGGCAGGAAATCGCTTCCATCCATGCACCGTGCTGGGAGAGCTCACAGCTCTCAGATGGGCTCCTTCCTTCTTCAGGTAGCTCGGTCCCACCTGGGTTATGCTCAAAGGGAATGAAAGTGCAGGGCACAGAGCAAAGGGCGGCATTCTGTGAATACGAGCATTAAAATAGAGCATAAAATGATGTAACCCTGCAAAATCAGTGTGAAGTTTTAGGTGTACTCAGGCAGCAAAACACACTGCTTCCCGCCCTGCAGTGCTCCTGCTAGCCCCGTGCTCGCAGGGCATCCGAGCCACGGCAGGAGAACCGCCCTTCGAAGCACTGCCACGCCAGAGAGAACGTGAAGGGGCGGTCGGTGGCGGATGTCTCGTGACAGAAAGCCATGCTGCACATTTCATCAGGAAGCAAATTCCCCTTTGACTGAAATCTATTCCAGGCTGACTTACTGGCACAGCCTTCCAGTAACATGCTTTAGGAAGGGAGTACAGAACTACAATCACTCTGTGTTTTTTGCTGGCCAGTGTGCGTGATCTCAGAAGCCAGCTTTGTCTTCTTACCCATCGGGAGAGAACCACCGCGGCTTAACTTGGGCTGCAGACTATGCAGAGCACAGAGGATCAGCACACTGAAACTCATCGATGCCACAAAAGGTTAGTTTGGGGAAGCATTCAAGGAGAACAGCTTTCACAGTTCTCGGATCAAACAGCATAACAAATTAAACATATGGTGCAATCAGATGAATGATAATAGCACAGTTTTATTAGTATTTCATGTTTGGAAAACATGGCCATTAAAGTAAGCTCTGACTGCATAAAGGGAACACGCTCAGAAGTAACGTGAGTCCCTTCCCATGTACAACTTTAATAGCCTACTCCTGGGTGACAATTCCAAAAGACGTTAATACAAGCATAAAAACCAGAATAGACAGAGTGAACAGATTATTTCCTACCTTCATCTCCTCTTCCATTTCAGAGAGTTTCCGCTCCAGGGCTCGCTTCTCCTGTTTACAAGGATTCATAACAAAGATGGTCACAAGGACGTAGAAGAAAAATTTATAGTACGTTTAAAGAAAAATAAAAGTCTTGTACTTCCGTAGGAGCATTCACTGAAAAGCATTTCAAAGCAACACACAGGTTACAACCAGGAGCTGATCAGATGGGACAGGGCAGCTGGTAAACCAGCAGGCAGTATGTGCTGGGCCCATTTCAGCAGATCCCGAGCTCTCTTCACACCCCTTCAATGCAACTATCCCCCCACTTTTAGTGACTCCAGTTTTCAGGACTTTCTGATGTAATGTGATTTTGAGCTCTGTGGGTAAAGAGATGGATTTAACCACACCCCACATAAAGAAGGCAATGAAAAAACTCACTGAGCCCATCAAATAAGAAACAGTGAACAGGGAAAGATGCCTGGAAATCCTGCTTCTCCCAGATTTATTTAGGGCTTCAAAGCTGCCTGACTGCTTTCAGTGTATTTTCGAAATACTAATTCAACAGAAGTGATGCAGGACATTGCCCTGACTTGGAAGCACGGGTGGGAGACGGGACGCGTGGTGTGAGCCCCCTCTGCCCGGGGATGTCTGCTCAGGGCAAGTGTTCCGACCACCACGCGCTTCTCCAGAAGAAACGCTCCACCCCTGACATGACTTCCCCCAGCAGCCATGCTTTCAGATGACATGTTTGATAAGCCCACTCAGCCCGCTTTAAGCACACCTCAGAATCAGGCCCACACAGCTCACTGCTTTGAGAATCTCAGTCTTGGGGTTCAGGGATGCTCAGCGGAGCTCATACGGCAGTGCCACGGCCTGAGCATGTACGAGCTGTAACTTCAACAGGCAAAGCCTGGCACATGCATCGGTACATTGTCACACACTTGTACTGAGGGCTGACGTGCTCTGCCTAACTCTGTCCAAAACGTGGATCCTGAACATCAACATCAACTCCTCTTGATTCTATCTGGCAAATCCCAGGAAGTGTTTACACATAAATAATTAAGGTCTTTCATGGCAGGAACTGAATTTAAACACACTGTTTGACCATCCAGCAAAGGTCCTAAAAGTGCAAGAGATGAAACACTTTAGGAGAAACCTCCACTTCAGGTGACCCTCCGATACGTAAGCGGGTGTTACTGAGAAACTGGAGCCAGGCTCCAGCTTTAATTATTCACTGAGGTACGTGGTGGGAGAATGAGTGGTAATGGCCATCAGATGAAGCAGAAGAGGTTCTGATTAGAAAAAAAAAAAAATCACTATGAGGACAGTTAAGAACTGGAAGAAGAGGCTGCAGCTGTGGAAACTCAACACTCAGAAGTCTTCATGAAATGATGGGACAAAGCCCTGACTAACCTGGTTGACTCTGCTGGGATGCGCTACAGATCTCCTCAGGTCCCTTCCAATCTGACTGAAGCTACTGGTCACTTAAGGCAGAGATTTAGTCAGACACTGCCCATTCACCTTAGCTTACTGCAATGAATCTGACTGTTCAATTAAGAGGAAGGAGCATTCAAACATTCAGATTTCAAGTATAATTGCAAGGTAGACAACCAGTTAGTGTTTTGCCTTGTTCCCCCCACCACCCCAAAACACACTTTAAGCTTTAAAATATTCTTGATCATTATAAATAATGGACCAACAGTCTCTTAGCATGATACAATACAATTCATTGGTCTGCAGCTTCCTATAACAAAAGAAAGAAATCAGAACTAAGCTGATTTGCAGAGAGAGTAGAGAAGTCTTCAGACACTGAAAAGGTCAGAACACGATTATCAATGTGCACTGCTCCACAAGGCAAAAATATAACTTATCTTTTAATTAACACTTTCCTTCAAGAAATGACTATGCCCTGCAGAGCAACACAAGGCAAAAATTGCAAGTCAGAAGAAAGCAGAGACACATACCCTTTTCTCCATCTCCAGCATGCTGGACCGGTCAGAAGTTTTCTCCTGTTTCTGCTATGTAAATTAAAAATAGAAAGCTATTAAAACTGAGAAGCATTCACAGGATGCTGTACAAGGGCCCAGATAGCCTACAGATGCACTTGCCTTGAGAAGAAGCAGTCTTTACAGAATCACCCACACTTATTTTTGTGAAAAATAGCAGTGTCCTCTGTAGCACCTTCCCTCCCAAGAACTAAATCCTTTCCCATGCTGGAACATGCACTGGCTTGTCATGGGCCAGTGCACAGTTCCTCCAGTCTAGGAGCCAGTTTTTGCCCTACCTGGGCTGCTTTTTCCAACTTTGATTTGATGTCGGCCAACTCAAGCTGGGCTTCTTGCAGTTTTGACTTCAGCTTTTGATTTTCAGACAGGGCGCTTTCATATAACTGAAATATAAAACAAAATATTTCAATTAACCAGGCTGCTCTTTTGCTGCCACACAGACCCAGTTCTGCCACACTACTCCGAACAGACACGTCCTCAGCACTGAGCAGAGGCAGCTGCCAGGTTTTCTTTGCTCTATGTCAGCGTATTAGAAGGGCAAACAGAACTAGTTTGGATGCTTTACTTGCATTTTCATAATTCATATAAAATAAGAAAACAGCTGCTTAATTTTGTAGGGTGTTTAAACACTGACAAAAGGCAAAGAAAAGGGATGTTTTTAATTCAGGTAAGCCACCAAGCATAATAAAGTATCAAGTTATGTATGCTGGATGTATCCGAACCTGTGATTCTGTTGTGCTCCCCAACACAACATACCCTAGTTGCTCTTGTGTGCTTTTGGTTTGAAGAGGAGAAAGAAGAACAATTTTAGGTCACCCCAAAATGGATTTTTTCCATTCAGTTCCTTAAAACAAGCAGAATTTCCATCCCTCTAGGAGGACAAGGTGGGCATACTGCTTGCCTCTTCTGGCCAGACATGTTCATGAAGAAGAGTGGGGTGCTGCTTATGGTGTGAGGCTTTTCAGCAACATAGTAATATCAGAATTAAGGTCATCTTAATCTGTTCACTTTTCATATGGTCCTTGCGCTGATACTAGATGTGCATGGTGGTCTATATTACTGCCTTTCAAGGATTATGTTGAAAGTTTCATAGATTATAGAAAAAATAATTCTGGAATGTTGTAGCAGCAAAAATAATTCTGTGGAAATACGCATGCTTGAGCCATGCTGGCATGCTCAACAAGATCTCTTCTCGCTCCTTTCAAATCCCTCCCAGCACTTCTCTTCAATCCCCTTTCACCAGATATCTGACTTTGCACAGTGTCTTTTAAACCCTTCTCCTTTTTCGACCCTCTGAAGGGCTGATGCATTTGAAAAAGGCTGGTGTGACTTCTGAAAACAATGGAAACAGAGAAAATGAAAATAAACTTTTTCTTTCCAAAGACTCGCAGTACAGGTTTCTGCAACAATAGGCAGCTTCTAAGGTGCATGCAGTGACAATAATACATTTTAAAAATCCTACTTTTTTATAGTCCCTGTTACTCTCCTCTTCTGCTCTGCTGCTGAGGGCGGCTAACCGGTTCTCCCTCCGGGCGTAGGCACTGGAGCGGCTGGAGGCACGATCACTGTAGGAGGAGTCACTGGTGGTAGGGTTCGTAGCTGCTTCCAACCTACAATGGGATGAAGACCCAGCACTGTGGAGCTGCTGTTAGTCTGGGACAGCCCGGATGAGCCCAACTGGTTGGGACTCGAGGCCACGGCAGAGCCAGGTGAACTGCCGAGGGCCAGGCAGCCGCCACCCGCCTCCAACACGGGGCAAAATCCACCGGGTATCAGCCCGAAGCTCAAATGGGCAGTGACTTCCCAGGGGCCTCTCACCTTCATGCTGGGAATGGGCTCCGTTTCTAATAGGGCACAGAGGGGTTTTTTCCTCCGCAGAGTAGCTGTTAAATCATTTGGGGAGCAAAGGATGAAAGCAAACCGGCCCAAAAATTGAGCCAGGTAAAAACCAAATGGTCAGTACCAGCTTCAGCTTATGCTGTTGATTTGAAGCACAGGGAATCCCCAAAGCCATACAAAAATATGCTGTCGGTAAATACTGATTAGAAAAAAATTTAAAAATTAAAATTCTTACCTGGAAAGTCTTTCATGCTGAAAGAAAAAAAAAAAAAAAAGGAAATTAATGATGATGAGAATTAAAGGTTCAATTCAAGAACCGCAGAGCTACCACACAGCAGCAATTTCCCACCTCTGATACTAGCACCTAGCTCACAAGCTAAACAGCATTATTTCCCATGCCCAAACTGGGGATCACCAATCCCCACCTGAATCTTTTCAACTGCTTCAGCTTCTCTGAAGCGTTTCAGATTTAATTTATTTTGCTAACATTAAAACTACTGAACCTTGTTCTTCAAATCCTAGATTCCAGAATTGAAATCTATTTCTTCGAACCAAAACTAGCCGATTGTTTCCCTTTTAAAATCAAGCTATTCTTCCTGACTTTGATCATTATTCTGTGCGTGATGTGAGTGAGAGGGATTAATGGACCATGATACGCAGAGCTTGCTGCGTATTTATGTTGAACTCCAGGAAATCACAACGGGTACTTTTGTCCATAGGCAAGTATCTCCCCCATGAAGAAAAGCTTCACTGTGGCAAGATGATACCGAGCAGGAGCTGCACGAGGAGAGGAGCCCTGCACCAGCCTAAAGGATGGCTACGTTGCCTGAAGCGTGGGTCAGGGCCTTCCTTCCTCATCATCATCCGAATCACTCCCGTGGCATCCTCAGCACCGCCTCTGACCCACCACCTCCTCCTCTGCAAGGTTGCTCTCTGTCTGGCAGGTGTTAGCTCAAATTCAAGGTGCAATCAAACTCTTTTTTAGTCCCTTGAACTGGAAATTGAGCCCGATATTCCCTTGCTAGTTTTATTAGCAGCATCATTTCTCTGATAGAGCACAAACTACCTGCAGGCACTACCAGTTATTTCCCTAGATCCTTTTTAATAAGTGCGAGAGTCAAGACAAGTAGGAAGACATTACATGGAAGACAAGGGGTCAGGGTTTTACTGCCCAGACATGCTTGTGCTGGAGTTTGCACTGCCCAGGTACATCAGTAAATCTAGTGCTAAATGCCTTGCTGGCTGGCAAGTTTGCTGCCCGTCTGGCACCCCAGTGTCTGAAGACTTTAGATCTCCAGCCTGGCACCCAGATGACACCTCTGATTGCTGGGCAGGTATCTGGGAGGACACACACCATGGGCAGTTGAATGAAGCCACCTCATTATCTGGAGAGGGAGGGTAGACAAGCGACCCTGCAATCTCTGCTCAAAGCCAGAGAACCACAGGGCAAGTCCCAGAGCAGCCCGGACTGTGCCCAGCCCCCCAGGACACAGGGACCTGGCTATGTGTTATGTATACCTCGTTATTAAATTCTTTATTCATCCTGCCCTCATGTAACTCTCATCTTGAATCCTGATTCCAGACAGGAGCTTCCCCAAGGAATCTGTAATCCCTGCTCACCCTGCAACGCAGCTCTCTGAAGCGAGATGCAGCAATTTGGTCAGAAACACGGCATGTTTGAGGCCTTGAGGATGGTCAACACATTCAGCTGAAGCTGCTAAATGCAAAGATCAAAAGGACAAATAAACCCTGCTATTAACTAGCACATTCTCCCTTGAACTGTGCCTACAGGGCCCCCTTCATCCAGCGTCCTGAGCAGGCCTGGGTGCCAGCTCCATGCTGTAGAGATGGTCACCTGAGCTCCAAAGGCCTGTCCCGGAGCTGGCACGGGTCCTAAGCCACGGCAGTGGGTCCAGCCCTCTATTATTTTATTTGCTCTAACCCTCTCTCCGTGTACCAAGAGCCTTCTTCATGCCATACAGGTGAGAAACCATCCAAGGGAGACAGCAGACGGCTTTCCACCGTGGCTAAGCCCCGCTACACTTTCACAAGTGATGTTGGATGCTGACTGGGAAGCCTCCCGTGGGGCCAAATGCCCGGCAGCTGCCTCCTGTTGCCACAGGGACATCTGCCTGCTTGGCCAAACAGCCACAGCCTGGGCCACTCTCTGCACGAAGCTCAAAGCCAGTAAATTGGGAAGCAGTTTTCTTACGGCTGGCCTCTGGCGCAGGTCTATCGTTAGAAAGATTTCACGTTTTCAGCTGCAAACACACTGGCCGATGTCTCTGCTGTCTTTTTTCAGCAGAGCTTCTGACGTTTGCCTCTTAAAACCCTTGCAGCTGCCTGACAGCTCCCTTTTAATTTTGGTCCAATGACCCAACCTCTCCTGTTGAGCAGGAGACGGGAATTAGGAAGTGATTAACAAGCCTCTTGTTGAAAGTTATTTGTGCACTTTATGCTAATCCCCTTCAGTGATGACTTTTCTTACAACGACAAACGGCTAGGCAAGTAATCCACTTAATATCAGGCTTGCATTTATTTCAACAAACACACCTGCTAATATATTTGAACAGTGCTGAGAAAGTCTACACATGGCTGGGCAAGGCAACGTGGAAACCAAGCAGTAAAACCTAGGCAGGTCCCCAAGCCAGCCTGTGCACTTGAAGCAGGAAGGAAAAATAATTTTTGTCTTTTTTTTTTTTTTTTTTTCCATACCAAACCCCTAATAATTTCCATAGGCTGAGAAAGCAGGGTTGTGTTTCTGCAAAGGAAGGTGGGATAAAAACGGAATCATTTTAAACATAGCTGCTGGAAACAGCAAAGGGGAGAAAAGCCCACCAGGTTTATTGTATTTAAAATCTTCCCGTGACGGATACTGAGATGAATTGTTTCAGACTGCAATTGTCTCTCTGTCTCGAAAGAGAAGCAAAGTACTACATGAGATAGGAGGACCTGCCTCATTCCTGCCACTGCCCCCAGCATTAGAGCAGACAATTCTGCAGCGACCTGTGGCCACCCCCCGCATGCAGCAGCTCTGGGACTTCTCCAGCCAAAATCTGGGTATTTCTTAGTGCTCAGTGATTTCTCCTCCTGTGACTTTATCTCCCTTTAGACTCATTTAAAGCACATCTCTGCCATAAAACCACTCATGTCATGTAGAAACAGCATGAAACTACAGGAAATCTTTGTGTTTGCAGCTGTTGGGAAAGCTGGCACCTTCCCCTCACCCTTCATTTGGCGGGTGCCATGCTCCATCTTGTTTCAGTTAAAAGTGGTATTTTTGAGACAAATATGATTAAGTTTGAGAGGAACTGGATAAAGGCTGAGGTCTGGAAAGCAGAGCCTGAACGAAATGTTAGAGGAGCTGTTGGAAGTGTCCCTGCCATAATGAAAATTGCAGAACAGTTTTCATCAGCGGATACTTCTTCCACTTGCTACTACCTTCAAGGAAGGAGGGAAGCTTTATTTTGTTTTAAATCAGTTTCTGGCTCAGTATGTTCCTGGATTTTGCACAAAGGCCAGTGTTAGTGCTGACAGTTCAAGGAAAAGCTTATTCAGATGGCTTTTTTTTTTTTTTTTAAATAATGATGGAGGAGGAAAAAAAAAATCCTCAATGAAAAAAAAAAATGTTCTACTCTGCACCTTCAAAAAAAGGCTTCAACTAAAAGAGGTGACATGGAAAGCAGCAGTTCTTAGTACAAAGAGAGTCTCTGAAGCCCAAGGAAGTGAGTTAAACAAAACAACTAAAATCTCATCCCACGGGGAGGTGGCTGTGCTGAGCAGGAGCTATCCGAAAGGGGAAGTGGGAGCCCTACATGCAACCACTGGAGTAGGCGCTTAACAAACATCCCTGCTATTTGCTCACAGACAAACATTTTCAGAGGCCACTGGGACATCACATTACAGACAAATTTTCAGTAGAAAACAGCTTCTTTCCAGCTCAGTCTTGCCCGGCCTTTGGCCACAGCAGCCTTGGAAACCCTTGCCACACGCTCCCAGCTGCACCTGCATCGTCAGCTCAGCAACTGCCTCTCCTCCACTCACTGCCCCTTCTTTTAGAACAACTACTAAATATTAATTTAAACTTCTGCAGCATTAGCTGGCTCACTGTGCTGCGTATGTAAGTAATGAAGAAGGTCGTATCTGCTGAGATGCCATCCCAAAGCTGAAAGCTCTGAGGTCAGAATCAGAAGGTGAAGGACAAAATTCTCCCTCCTTCATTTCTGGAAAGAGAAACTGGGGGTAAACAGAGGGAAACAAGAGCCAAGGTACCAAATGTACACTTTAGTAAGCTGGTGCAAGAAAGGGCTTTACCTTCCTGATTTTTTGGTGAATGAATACTGTGCAATCTGCTATGGTTAAAAAGATGATGCTGAGAAACTGCTGTATCAACTGCACAAATGCATTGGGTTTTTTTTCTTCCCTTGGCAAATTTGGAACAGCACTGTCAGTTTTGCCCAGACTCCTTCATTTCCCTTGGGATGAGAAGTTTGACTAGAAACATTAACAGCCAGGGAAGCATCGGGTTGTGAAATTATCCTTCCTGCAATCTAAACAGGGTCATATTGCTGCAGGGTTTGGGGCGGGCGGAGGAGGACCCCAGGGAAAAGCGAGGCGCTGGAAGCGGCTGTCCTGATTCAGAAACCAGCACGGCAGTCAGCACGGAGCAGAGACCCTGGCACTCCTGCTGAAGAGCATCAAGACACCCAGGGGGATGACTTTTAAGGAAAACCTGAAAGTAGGGAGCACTTGCAGGCATCCTTAGCTCTCAGACCTCTCACCTGAGAGGTCGCACCATCTCTCCTCCCGTCTGTCTCACGGTGGGCCGTACGTTCAGGTAGTGCTGGGGGTGGGGGAGGGCAGCAAAGGGGTTCCGCTAGTTTTGCCAGCCCTCCCAGACAGGGTCAGAGATGATTCAACCCAGGGGGGCTGGCAAAGCACAGGACATCTGAGAAAAAGAACAAAGAGCATCATACCGGACTGATCATCCCTGCTTAAGCTGGTTGGTTCAGGGCCCCCCAGTTCTCCCTGTGCAAACCCACAGGAACAGGCAGAGCCAGGTACTGGCCGTGGCCTCACTCGCCCAGACTGCCAGGGTGCTGCACAGTGCCAGCAACCCCAAACAATTCGGATTTTAGGAGTGCGCTCGGACTGTGGAGGGCAGGAGCCTTCCCTTAAAAACTCAGAAACTTTTACAGCTGTTAGGAGCTCAGTAAAGTATAATTAAAACCAAATTCCTCCTGGAAGGTTTA